CAGGAAAGGATTCAGAGAAGTGAGATTTCAACTGGGCCTTAAGGAAGGACAGGATATTGAAAGGTGGAGGAGAAATGCGGTATCTCAGGTGGAGAAACAACCAGGGCAGTGGCAATAGTGCACCTGAGAGGCGGCTTGGCTGAGTGTGGGCATGCACTGGAGAGACATGGGAAATAATTCAGGAGACGTCAGTGGAGGCTGGGTTCTGGTAGGTTGTGAAAATCAGGCCATGGTGTTTGGGCTTGGCATCCTTGGCCAGGTTGGTAAACGGACCATTTTCTGCTGTAACTCCCTATGGTAGTTACATCAACATGGGATGACAAGACTTTTTTTCTGCTGGTCTTAGAAATGGCTCTTCAGATAATCATTATTGGCAATCAATATGAAACTTACTACCAATCTGGTGGTACACAAAAGGAAGCAAATGCAGGTTTTCTCAATCAGTAAGGACATAATAAATGTGGTGTTTAAGAAGTATTGATATTCAGGATAGGTCAGCTAGAGACTTGCTAAGTATGTAATGCTGAGGTCACTAGAACTCAGCAGACAAACGGGGAAAGTTTAATAATTTGATGATAATGTTAGAGTTTTTCTCTGCACTGGTAAGAAATTTCAGTTAGGTTATTATGTCAGGTTCCTTTGTGAGAAAAACAGTCTCATTTTGGCTTGTCAAGTTAGAGTGGCTTGACAGTAGATAAGAATATGATTCTTCTTTATTTTCTCTTTCTTTTTTTTTTTTTTTTGAGAGAGTCTCCTCTTGTCATCCAGGCTAGAGTGCAGTGGCAAGATCTCAGCTTGCTGCAACCTCCACCTCTTGGGTTCAAGTAATTCTCTGCCTCAGCCTCCCAAGTAGCTGGGATTACAGGTGGCCACCACCACACCGGGCTAATTTTTGTATTTTTAGTAGAGACAGGGTTTCACCATTTTGGCCAGGTTGGTCTTGAACTCCTGACCTCGTGATCTACCTGCTTTGGCCTCCCAAAGTGCTGGGACTACAGGAGTGAGCCACCACACCTGGCCCCCCGCTTTTTTTTTTTTTTTTTTTAAGAGAGTGTCTCATTCTGTTGCCCAGGCTGTAGCTCACTGAAGCCTTGACCTCCTAGCTCAAGTGATCCTCCCATCTCATCCTCCCGAGTTGCTGCGGCTACAGGCACAAACCAGAATGCCAGGTTGTTTTTTTTTTTTTTTTGTTTGTTTTTTTTAATTTAAGTTCTGGGCAACAGGGGCAGAATGTGCAGGTTTGTTACATAGCTATACACGTGCCATGGTGGTTTGCTACACCCATCAACCTGTCATCTACATTAGCTATTTCTCCTCATGCTATCCCTCTCCTAGCCCCCAACCCCTGACAGGTCCCGGTGTGTGATGTTCCCCTCCCTGTGTCCATGTGTTCTCATTGTTCAACTCCCACTTATGAGTGAGAACATGGTAGAAACAGAAATACTACTTGGCACGGCCAGGCGTGGGTGGCTCATGGCCTGTAAATCCAGCCTCTGGTGAGGCGAGATGGGTGGATCAACGAGGTCAGGAGATCCGAGACCATCCTGCTAAACCATGAAACCCTATTTCTACTGAAAAAATAACAAAAAATTAGCGAGCCGTCCGTGGTGCGGGCTGTAGTCCCAGCTACTTTCGGGAGCTGGAGCAGGCGAGAATGGGTAGTTGAACCCAGGAAGCGGAGCTTGCAGTGAGCCAAGATCACTCGCTGCACTCCAAGCCTGGCGCAACAGAGCGCGAGAGCTCCCTCTCAAAAAAAAAAAGAGAATACTATTTGACCCAGCAAATCCCATTACCTGGGTATATACCCAAAGCATTTGTAAATTATTCTACTATAACGGACACACACTGACATGT